GGAGAAGGGGAATGCAGAGGAGAGAGAGAGAGTTTTTTGGGAGTTTTAAGTGAATGATGGGAGCCTTAAACCCAAGTGAGACAGTAATTGGGGAGGGACCTGAATGCTAAAGTAGGAGAAATTTTTTAAAGAGGGGGGTGTGGTGGAAAGTTTGGGGTGCCAGGTGTAAATGATAATGGGAGCCCTTTGATTGAACTTGTATAGAAAGGGGTTTTGTTATAGGTAGTACATATTTTAAGAAAAAGAGGATAAATAAGTATACAAGATATGATGTAGGGCGAAATGACAGTAGTTTGTTGGTTTATGTATTGGTAGATAAAAGACTGTTGAGTAGACTTCGGGATGTACATGTTTATAGAGGGGCCACAGATATATCAGATCACTTTCTAGTTGTAGCTACACTGAGAGTAAAAGGTAGATGGGATACAAGGAGAATAGAAGCATCAGGAAGAGAGAGGTGAAGGTTTATAAACTAAAAGAGGAGGCAGTTAGGGTAAGATATAAACAGCTATTGGAGGAAGATGGGCTAATGGGGAGCATAGGCAGGGGGTTCGAAGAGGTATGGGGTAGGTTTAAAAATGTAGTGTTGGAGTGTTCAGCAGAAGTTTGTGGTTACAGGAAAGTGGGTGCAGGAGGAGGAGGGGGCGATTTGGTGGAATGATGATGTAAGAAGTAGTAAGGGAGAAAAAGTTTAGCATATGAGAAGTTTTTAACAAAGTAGAAGTGATGAAAGGAGGGAAGAGTATATGGGAAAAAGAGAGAGGTTAAGAGAGTGGTGAAGCAATGTAAAAAGAGAGCAATATGAGAGAGTGGGTGAGATGTTATAAACAAATTTGTTGAAAATAAGAAAAAGTTTTGGAGTGAGTTTAAAACAAGTTAAGAAAGCCTAGAGAACAAATGGATTTGTCAGTTAAAAATAGGAGGAGAGTTATTAAATGGAGAGTTAGGGGGTATTGGGAAGATGGAGGGAATTTTTTGAGGAATTGTTAAATGTTGATGAAGATAGGGAAGCTGTGATTTCGTGTATAGGGCAAGGAGGAGTAACATCTTGTAGGAGTGAGGAAGAGCCAGTTGTGAGTGTGGGGGAAGTTCGTGAGGCAGTAGGTAAAATGAAAGGGGATAAGGCAGCTGGGATTGATGGATAAGATAGAAATGTTAAAAGCAGGTGGGGATATAGTTTTGGAGGGGTTGGTGCAATAATTTAATAAATGTATGGAAGAGGGTAAGGTACCCTAGGGATTGGCAGGGGAGCATGCATAGTTCCTTTGTATAAAGGCAAAGGGGATAAAGGAGAGTGCAAAAATTATAGGGGGATAAGTCTGTTGAGTATCCCTTTGGTTTAAAGTGTATGGTAGAGTTATAATTGAAAGAATTAAGAGTAAGACGGAAAATAGGATAGCAGATGAACAAGGAGGCTTTAGGAAAGGTAGGGGGTGTGTGGACCAGGTGTTTACGTGAAAACATATAAGTGAACAGTATTTAGATAAGGCTAAGAGGTCTTTGTGGCATTTATGGATTTGGAAAAGGCTTTTATGACAGGGTGGATAGGGGGGGCGATGTGGCAGATGTTGCAAGTGTATGGTGGTAGGAGGTAGGTTACTGAAAGCAGTGAAGAGTTTTTACGAGGTTTAGTGAGGCTCAAGTTAGAGTATGTAGGAAAGAGGGAAATTTTTTCCCAGTAAAGTAGGCCTTAGACAAGGAGTGTGATTGTCACCGTGGTTGTTTTATATATTTATAGAGGGGGTTTTGTAAGGAAGTAAATGCGGGGGTTTCCTTGGCAAGAGGCGTGGAGTTAAAAGATAAAGAAATCACACACAAAGTGGGAGTTGTCACAGCTGCTCTTTGCTGATGACACTGTGCTTTTGGAGATTCTGAAGAGAAGTTGCAGAGATTGGTGGATGAATTTGGTAGGGTGTGCAAAAGAAGAAAATTAAAGGTGAATACAGGAAAGAGTAAGGTTATGAGGATAACAAAAAGATTAGGGGATGAAAGATTGAATATCAGATTGGAGGGAGAGAGTATGGAGGAGGTTGGGAAAGTATTCAGATACTTCGGAGTGGACGTGTCAGCAGATGGGTCTATGAAAAATGGGTGAATCATGGAATGATGAGGGAAATAGAGTGAGTGGTGCACTTAGGAGTCTGTGGAGACAAAGAACTTGTCCTTGGAGGCAAAGAGGGGAATGTAATGAGAGTATAGTTTTACCAACGCTCTTATATGGGTGTGAAGCATGGGTGATGAATGTTGCAGCGAGGAGAAGGCTGGAGGCAGTGGAGATGTCATGTCTGAGGGCAATGTGTGGTGTGAATATAATGCAGAGAATTCGTAGTTGGAAGTTAGGAGGAGATGCGGATTACCAAAACTGTTGTCCAGAGGGCTGAGGAAGGGTTGTTGAGGTGGTTCGGACATGTAGAGAGAATGGAGCGAAACAGAATGACTTCAAGAGTGTATCGTCTGTAGTGGGAAAGGGAAAGGGGGGGTAGGGGGCGGCCTAGGAAAGGTTGGAGGGAGGGGGTAAAGGAGGTTTTGTGTGCGAGGAGCTTGGACTTCCAGCAGGAATGCGTGAGCGTGTTTGATAGGGTGAATGGAGACAAATGGTTTTTTAAAACTTGAAAGTGCTGTTGGAGTGTGAGCAAAGTAACATTTATGAAGGGATTCAGGAAACCGGCAGGCCGGACTTGAGTCCTGGAGATGGGGAATACAGTGCCTGCACTCTGAAGGGGGGTGTTTAATGTTGCAGTTTAAAAACTGTAGTGTAAAGCACCCTTCTGGCAAGACAGTGATGGAGTGAATGATGGTGAAAAGTTTTACTTTTCGGGCCACCCTGCCTTGGTGGGAATCGGCCAGTGTGATAATAATAAAAAAAAAATTATAGGGCAATATATGTTCTTGTTTGATTTAATTATTATTTTATTTTTATTAAATTTTTATTATTATTATTATTATTATTATATTATTATTATTTTTATTTTATTATTATTTCTGAGGAAGCATCTGTTCTCGTAGGAATTATACAGTTTCTGTTTAAAGTGTAATCATGTTTGACCTGAGTTAAGGTCAGGTGTCTCACTACCGTCACTGGAACAATACACAAACATCTCGCACATAGGAGAGAGGAACTTATGACGACTATTTTCTCTGACATAAGCTTCTCTCTTTTATGTGCGGGTTGTGTAAAGGTCGCTCCGTTACCTCGGATCAATAATTTT